TAGAATGCATTCGCGAAAATGTAGAATATTAGTAAATAAATAAGAAGCAATTATGAATGTGAAATTCTCTTATATCGTATTCTTTCGATTATTATTACTTATTTATTATTACTTCTGCTCTATTATTTAATTCTGATCGGAAATAGATTTACAGTGTCGGCTGAACATTCCAAAAAGTCTATGTACAAAAAAATTTAGTCTCGATTTGATTTCTTATCAATTAAAGTCAATTGATTACAGTGATCACGAATGGAGATAAATAAGGAAGATAAAAACATTCTAGAGATGTGCATTTTTTACGATTAACATTTCATTATTAGTATCATGTTTGTATGTTTTTCTTCTGTCTAATGACGCAACAATGTAAATATGCATTTTTTAGCGAGCTTGCCCTTAAAGTGTATAAATACAATGAAATGAAATATATGTATTTATACATATTTATTTAACATATTTTTTATGTCTCCAATTTTATATACGTTTGCAGGAAATCCGACAAAAAAGATGAGCTGCCAGACAAAGAATTCCTCGAGAGGAACTCGTTGCTCACCGATCTCTTCGAGATCCCTCACATTCGCACAGTTTACAATATGTTTATGGTGACCCTCATGCTTTTGTTTGTCAGTACAATCGTATCTGACATTATGGATTCGGAAACGTAAGTCTGCAACGCGCTCTGAATCGCTCTTTGCATTAATGTCATCATTTCAACAAAAAAAAAAATGAAAATGATATTTCATCCACTTTCAATATCTATAACATTAATTAAGTGAATATTTTCAGTATACATTTTTAAAATTCTTAAATATTCTGCTTGAAATGTTTGTAAGATGTTTTGTCTTGAGTAACGGGTAATTTTATACTCTTTCATCAATCAAAACTGCTCTCTTCTTATCTGAAGTTATCGGGGTTGAAGTGAACGGCACAGTCATTTATATAGTGTGTTACATTATAGTGTGGAAAATTACTCGCGACGTAAGATAATAATTCAAATATTTTTCCATTTGTTTTATTATGTTCAACCTCATTGACTAGACAAACAAATTAAAGATCGAATTAATCAATAGATTTAAAATATATTTTAAATATTTATATTTCCTATTAACTTTTGTTTCTCGATTATCTAATTTTTTCGTATTTAATTAATTTGTTTTTAATAATTTTGATTTAATTTTGCTTGTTAATTAATGGTTATTGAAGAATTCACATCGGTACCAATACATTACGAAAAGGTTTCACAAAATTCCCCACGTGTGTCTATATTTGGTTCTTCATGCAAACCGCGACATTCAGTCTTTATGTGTTTTTCAACATCTGGGCGTATCAACGACTCAACTTCATGCCAAAATGTAAGAATTTCTACAACTTAGATTTAGACACTCTTAATTTAAACATTAAAAATATTTAAAAAAAAAGGAAAAGTAAATTGGAATGATTTAATTAAAATAAAATAAAATCTATAACTTTTATCAAAAAATAAAATTGTAATGTGAATTGATGATTGATCAATTGATTTGAAATATAATATAACGCAGGATAATCGTAAAGATAATATCAATTAATTACAATAAATTAAATTAGATAATATCAATTAATATAACAATTTAATTAAAATGTTTCAATTCAATTGTTTTTTCTTTTTATAGCTTTCTTTCGAAAAATTTGGGATTATGGCTGGCTGTCAACCTTTATTTTGTATCAAGTTTTATTTATAGTTTTGCCAGTCAGAGCAGTGATTAACGAAGAGCTTTCTGTAGGTTCTAGTGTAATTATTCTTGCAGAACAAGTACGTACTTTAAAAAATTTTTATTTATAACTCGACTCTTTCTTCACTGTCGTCATACTGAATTATAACGTTAGAAGCGTGAGGAATAGATTTCTTTTCTTTCAAAGTACACAAAATAAATCAGTTTTGTCACATATTGTCACGTTCGATATTACAGATTGTTAAAAACATGTTAGATTTTCTTTTCTATTTGTGAATTAATGAAAACCGTAAATCTCTTTTGACCAAATGAAGTTGACTTTCATGAAGTTCATTTCCTCAAAATACAAGATATATCGATTAAATTATACATGCATTACCATAAATAACGTGGAATAAGAAAAAAAAATAATTTTCTGGTGGAAAATATCAAATTGTATTTAAATGTATTAGGATTTAATACTTAGAATATATATATATATTTATAATATTGAAATTATATGTATATATATGTGTGTGTGTGTGTGTGTGTGTGTGTGTGTGTGTGTGTGTGTGCGCGCGCGCGCGCGCGCGCGCGCGCATATTTATTATTTCAATATTAAAAATATTTGATGTTGGACAATAATGCAAAATTCTTTCTAATCTCATAATCTCGAAATGACTCGTTTGCTTTTTCAGTTACGCATGATGATGAAGACACACGCTTTTGTCAGGAGCACGGCATCCAGATTCCTGTCGTATAAACCACATAATGAAACTCCACGGCCGAATGGTCCCAAGTTTTCACACTATTTGTACTTTCTGTTTGCACCGACTCTTGTGTACCGTGATGAATATCCCAGGTAAATACCTTGATACATATGAGAGAAGGTATATGAAAGATCTTATTTAGAGAAAATTAACAATCTGAACTTGTAATTGTGCGCGAGAAAGAAAACAACTTCAATTACAATTATTAAATTAAATTTACTAATTAAATTTAATATGAAACTAATTAAGAAACTTTTAGCCTCAAAGAAGTTTCAAAGAGATTTGCGAGATATATATATATATATATATATAAACAAAATGTTTGAATCTCCTCAATACTTCAATAACATAATTTGAAGTTTTATATTTATCAAAATAGAAAATCATTCAAGTATTAATACTTGAGAAAATATTGTATTTAGAAAATATTATATTTAAACGCAATTGATTTTCCTAGGACGAAGAAGATCAGATGGACGGTGGTAGCTCGAAACTTTGCTGAAGTTGGTTTAGCGATCTTTTATCTCGCCCTTATTTTTGAACGTCTTATAATGCCGACATTTCAAGTGTTCGGCACGCGACATCTGGATCAAAAATGGTTCATCAGGAGTATAATCGAAACATCCATTCCTGGCATTCTCTACTTCGTCACTGGACAATATCTATTGTTGCACTCGTGGATGAATGCTTGGGCAGAAATGCTGAGATTTGCCGACCGATTATTTTACAAGGTGAATCTTGTATTCATCTTTAATACTAATTTATCTCTCAAAATTTATAAGATATGGAATACTTTTTGGGAAATATATCACGCTACGTGATAGCTTCGATACACGTGATGACTTCACCATAGCTTCAGAAAGCTTTCGGAATGGTTATGCAAAATATTACACCAGTGTTCTGATGAAATAAACACTTTTTTCACATGAAAAACTTTCGCGATATTACACTAGTCTTGAACTTTGATAACTCATTTTCTCGGAATTATTGTTGATTGAAGGCAAATTATATTTTCATGACTTGTTGTATCGTTTGTATCCATTGTAGGACTGGTGGAACTGCACGACCTATCATACGTATTACCGCACGTGGAATTTGGTGGTGCACGACTGGCTGTATACTTACGTCTACAAAGATATGTACGACATCGTGGTGCCGCGTAACAAGACACTGTCGGCCGCTGCTGTATTTCTCATTTCCGCCGTCTTTCACGAATACATAATTGCATTCATGTTCCGTTTCTTTTACCCAGTAATGTTCGTCTTGTTCGCCGGCATTGGTTTCGCGATGTTTTTCGTTCGTAAAATCGTCACCAGCAATATCTTCATGTGGTTTTCCCTTACCCTTGGCAACGGCATCATGTTCACTCTGTACTCGATAGAGATCTACGCTCGGTTCAACTGTCCCCCTCATCCCAATTATTACTTGGATCTGTTCATACCGCGAAGCTGGACCTGTTCAAGCCAATTTGATGTATAGATGAATAGATCGCGGTGATATCTATACTAAACTTTTCGCAAGATGATGCATTTCCTACGTTCTATTACTAGAGAAGTGTTTTTGAAAATTGTTATGTGCGAGGAACTTGGTTTAGTATTCAACTAAATCGAGTACTTTAGTGACATAAGATCATGTATCAATAATAGGGACAATGGAGATCCTAAAGCTGTTGTTAATGAATTTATTGCACGTGAAATTGCACATCTATATTCTTTTTTTATATTATTTTTGAACCTAAAAGTAATAAGTGTAATTTTTTCAAGAAATTATTAACGAAAAGAATAGATGAAAAATGTATTTTTTTGCAATTTTGCTAGAATAAACGTTCATAACTGATGTTAAAACGTACTCAAAAACTAAATGATGATTTCGCTCTTCGTACATCTTAACACTAAACATTACTAACTTTATGATAAAAAAAAAGTCAATTCTGGCCTAACTTTTCAAAGAAAGTAGGCTGTGAATGACCAATTCGTTTAATTATAACTTTAAGGTTTTCATTTTTCCATTGTAAAAAGATTTCTGCTAAACTATGTTTCTTATTTTATAATTACTTATTTGAACTTATTTTAGATTAAATTTGTATTATAATTAGATTTGTGATATTCATGAAAAATTAAAGAAAAATGATGTTGTTTATAAAAATATTATTTTTTGTAATAAATTATAAAATAAAAAAGTTAATAAAATTTGTTGAATAGAAAGTTGCATTATTGTGTTCAAATTTATAATTTAAAATTATCTCAATCAATAGAACGATCTATATACATATAAAAAGCATATGATATATCGAGAACTTAAAAATCATTTTAGAGTAAAAAATTCTCAATTTTCTAATTAACTAAAATTAAATTATGTGATTAGAGGGATGGAGGGATTACAAATATACGCAAATTTATATAAAAAAGAATTATTTTTGTAATCGAAGTTTTACATATGCCTCTCAATTTCCGCATGGCAACGAAGAAGATGTAATATCTTCCAGCCTATACAAACTAATTTAATTAATTACTCATCGTACATTCGTTACACATGTACAATCTTCTTTATAATTTGTAATTATATTTTTTTTATATAATGTGTATGTATGTATATATATATATTTACATAATTCACACTCCCTTTCTTTTTCTCTTTATCTTTTCCTCCTCCCCCCTGTCTCTCTCCTTCTAATTCTATCTTACGCTTCGTACAAGAATGAAATTCAACAAAGAGAAAAATAGAAGACGAATACACGTCCATGCGCGTATATAACATAATGTTTATTAATCTTTTCTAACTTTACACGACTTTTGTTTCTGTCCCCTTTTCTCTCTGATGCTGCAACAAAACTACTTCTTCTTCAATGATAAAAATAATCTGTAAAACGAGAATCGCTTGGAACTCGATATTTAGCTCTCTCTCTCTCTCTCTCTTACAATGTTTTTTCATCTCTTGTTTTCTCTTCCTTTCTGATTTCTACTAGATAGTAGAAGGTAAAAATAGAGGGAGTGATCATATCTTCTTTATGGGGTCGTACACGTCTTATTTATAAATATTTGTACCTAGATTTGCATTCGTTCATTCACGCAACCACGCAATCACGTGATGAAATACGTCAATGTTCTTGAAAGCTACAGGTCGAACTTCCTTTGTTTCTCAAATCGATTCTCTATTCCAGGCTTTCTTTCATCTTAAATAAGTTGTTCTTTCTAAACTTTGCTTGTGTGACTAAAAAGAAGGAATAAAACAATATTCCGCGTGCCATATAGTGATTTTTTACAATAAAATCGAAGACGAAGAAAAGAAATCTTGGAATAGAGAAAAATGTTTAATCTTGTTGACGTTAAAAAGAAAATCGACGGTACATATACGATTGTCCAACATGATCTTCAATCCTAACGAATAACGTGAGGGCACAGAAAATTTCTCGAATTATCAAGGCGTTGTCGTCAGGGAAAGATGTACGATGAAAATAAACGATGAAAATACAACGTTCATCAATAGCATCGTTCTAAAATTTATTAACAATTATTGGAACAACAAGCTCCTACTTCGTATCCTTTATCTTAGGATAAGCTGTCCTTGTAAAGAGAATAGCTATATACCTTTTCCGAAACGACAATGTCGTTCGCAACGTATGAGCGATCTTGATAATGTAAGCGAACAATTGTCTAGAAAAATGAATTTTGTATTGTTGAATATATGCAACATGCATTTCTTTCTTTCTCCCTTTCACCCTCCTTCGTTCTCTCTCTCTCTCTCTCTCTCTCTCTCGCAAGAATTACAAGAATGTTATTCCATAGCATCTAAGTGATTCATTCTTTCTTTCCTCATTCATTTTTTTCTCAACGAAGAAATCAGCGAGATCGCCAATTCCGGGCTACCTTCTAAATTATTACTTCTACATATAGATGGCAAAGTTTATTGATATTTCTGCATAAACACGTTCACTGTCCGAGTATATAAGCATATCGCGTTCATATCAGAAAAGCGATAAGCATCTCTTTAACTATTTGCTCTCTGAAATAATATGCTATATACGTAATGCCTTCTTCGTACTAAACTTAACAACGATACACGGTCGTCATATGATTATCTTAAAATGTATTGTATTTTTTATAACATTGTTGAAATATGTAATGATTTTTTTTATATTTTATTAAATAAATTATAAATATCAGTTAAATCATTTTTGCAAATTTATTTTTAATCATTCATAAATTTTATAGTTATATTAGAAGCGTTATGTAAATATAAGAAATCTATCGCAAAAGAGATACATGATTTAACCAAAATTTATTTGCTTCTATCGAATCTCTTAATCCATATGTGGTCAACGGTCAGTAAACGTATTAAAATAACGTGTTAATATCAGAAACGCACATTACCATCGCACAGCCGATGGCATTCTCACTCCATTGATAACAAAGCAAACTCGCTCCCTGCAAAACTATTTAGGAAAAGGAATAAAATATAACTATCGCTAGAAACAGACTGGCTGGCAGAATTTAACATTTCGCATCAAGAGATCACGCAGAATGGGGGGACAATGCGAACATTTTTGGGAGAATTTAAAAACAATCGGCGTATCGCAATATATTTGGCAGTATTGGAGAATACTTAACGGCTTAATGTGTTACTATCGAGTTAAAAAATCGACTAACTTCGAGTGACATGCTCGAGTATCCTGGAAGCACGATATCTCCTTCAGAAACGACGAAAAGGATACACCATTGCTGATGGAAGAAAGAAAGAAAGATTTACGATTGCGATAATCATCTAGAAGATAACGCTGTTATTGCAATCAATCCTGGATGAATTCAGATATTATTCACAGTTAATGGATGGAAACTCCAGTTACACTTGTCTCAGCTTTTTTATAATGTACTGACAGTTGGTCGTATGTATATTTTTTGCAACAAATAAATAACTTAATGCATAAACAAATTTATTTAAATGCACAGCATTTTTTGACTGATGTATGTTTGAGCTGCTATTTCTTAATTCTAATTAAGCTGCAAAATTGTTGTTATAATAAAATTGACGAAGTAAAATCGTGCTGAATATAGTGAATGAAATTGTTCAAATGTATCATTGAAGAAACAACAAAATCATTACTATAATTTCAATCAATTCATCGCGCATGCTTAGAAATCTGCGAAAACACACGATACTTCGAAATAGATTTAAACAAAAGTGCGAACAAACGCGAACAAACACATTTGCGTCAATAAATAAATATTCAATTTTCCGTCAACCTTCTTTATTTAGGAAAAAAAATGTCGTTCATGTTTTAAGAAGAAATTAACGAAAAAATTCGAGCGCAAAAAGATGGAAACAATTAATAATGGAAAAGTTAAGTTACATAATATTTTTAAGATAAACGTAACATTTTGAGTTTAACTTAGTTCTCATCATAATAACAACATGTATTTTTATTTACTTTTTATGTTCTAAGGATTTTTCCTTCAATTTTTTGTTATATTGATGTTGAGGATTAAATAAAGTTCAAAGCATTATATTTATATTATAATATCATGTGATTAATTTTTCCATTATTATTGTTTTCACCTTACTTTAATTGAATTTGGTCATTAATCCCTTCGTACTGCTTTGTAAATAATTATATTTTTTTTATATCATTTGTGATTATTCATCTCCGTTGGTTTAGATTCATGTTAACATATCAATCACCATTCGTAATTGCAAACGATTCAGATTCTATGATTCTGCTTGATAGAAATTGATATCCATATTCGCCATATTCGTCATCTTTTTTACATTTTTCTTTCTGTAACACACAACACACAACACATCTTATTTAGCATTCATCTTTTAGAATAGAAAGTAGAATCGAACACACTTCAACATACTTATCGCACACAGATTTCCACATTAAAGTATTCTGGCTTGGTCGTCTCAAGAATATGAAGTATGTTCTTCATGAATCTTTCCAAGTCGATCATGATGAACATAAAGCATTCTTCGATCATGATCATCATTGTTCATATTAACTTTAACAGGTCAACACAGAAGCTACAATTGAAGGTTTAGTTCAATAATGTACATAGAGTGGTCCACCAGAGTAGAGAGAAAGAGAGGAAGAAACAGAGAGATAGAACATCCGAATAACTTTTAAATTTGAAGAAAAAAAAAATAGATATAATTTGTACAACTTTGAGGAAAAGGTTCAGAGTTTTATTCGGGTGTTCTCGTTTTCCGATTCTCGACCCTCCTCCTTGATCTAGAACGTCGAGAAATAAAAAAAGCGAGTATGCTCTCTTTGTTTTATAGTTTGAGTAATCTTCATTTACCCATACCGACCAGCGCCTCATCCATAAGTTCATCATCGGTGATGCAGGGCGAAGCAGACGAATGGGGAGAAGGTGGGATCACTCGGGGACTCGGCGCCGGGCTCTTTACGATGTGCACACTCACGGACGGACTGGCGGCAGGTGGAAAGGGAGCCGGGAGCGGTGGTGGAGGCGGCGGCGGTGGCGGTGTATTACGTCGTACCGTCGGCGCTACTTGAGTCATCACTCGTTCTGGGATCGTCGTCAGGTGATGCTGCGACAAGGACGTCGATATGCCGTGACCGACCTTCGTCATTGGATCCTTATTCGCCGCGGAAAAGTCCAGCAACATCTCCGCTGCCGCCGCGACAGCCGCTGCCGTCATCTCCTGTTCACCACCACCACCACCACCACCACCACCACCACCACCACCACCACCACCACCACCACCACCACCACCACCACCACCACCACCACCACCTACCTACCACCTACCA